TCACCCCATCCCCTCCAAAAGCACTGATCAGAGGCTGTGGTGAGGCCCAAGAGCTGCCAAGCCCCAGTTTCAGCCGACTCTGCTTTAGGGGTGCTGCTGCAGAAGCCCCACAGACCCCCCTCGCTGCTTGCAGCAGGGACTGGAGCAGGATCTGTTTTGCTGGGGCCACATGCTGCCCTCTCGTGGGAATGAATCCCTGAGGATGGTACCCAGACACAGCACCACAGGGAGCTCACACACCAGCACAGCCCCCCTGCCTCAGCTCCCCAGACCCTCAAAAACCTCCTTATCTGAGCCCCTTCCCAACAGCCCAGGCAAGAAGAGACCCTGAGAGGTGTCCGAGGGAGGGATGAGCCTCCAGCATCTCACATGAAGTTATGCCAGAGCATCCCTAAGCCAGACTGTCTTCTTCATGGGGTTTGGCTTCTCCAGTCCTGCCTGAGGAAACATGCTGCTGGGATGGATGGGCCTCTTTTATCCACTCCATTGGCAAATGGTTGGACTCGTGTCCTGCACAGAGCTGGACAGGCATTTGGGATGTGTTTATTCCAGCAGGGCTGCATCCCTCTCACACCAGCAACACTGGCTGCAGGGCTTTCTGCACAGCCCAGGGGAAGACAGCAATGCCTCCAGTGTGGAGCACTCCCTTCCTAGAGCTAAGTTTCCTTCTGCCACTGAATAAGGTTGCTGTTCTCAGCATGGATGAGCCTTTTCAGGGTTTTATTTTTGTAAGTTTGCTGAGAGAATTAGCACCTACGGGAGCCAGGGCACAATAGCTGTGCTATGTAAGCCAGACAGGCCCCCCGAGCACTTTTCTGTAGTCCTGTTTTTAGTAACTGGTCTCAGCTTTTCCACACAGCCCCTCACACCAGCACTGCACCAGGAACAGCAAACTGGGGCCACCCAAAATCCAGGAGCAGTGCTGTGTCACACACAGGCTTGTGCACTGGACACAGAGATCCTGAACTGGAATTCAGAAAAACTGATCCTGATTTCTGGAATGCTTCCTCAATTTCCACTTTAAACATAATGTGTCACACACAGGCTTGTGCACTGGACACAGAGATCCTGAACTCCCACTTTTCTGGAATGCTTCCTCAATTTCCACATTAAACATCACAAAAATCACCATCCCCTCCTTTGCCCTTTCTGTGGATGGGTTTTACTCTGGGCAGCCCCTCCAGGAGCCAGGTGACAGCTGCCACTCTTGTATTTGACTGTGGCACAGAGGAGGATGTGGCTTCCTCCTGTCAGGCATAAACTTGTCCAGTACAGAAGTGTTTCATGGCTGTTTGCAGTGTGCACAACAGGCAACACCTGAACTAAACAACAAATTGCACCTCAAGTGACTACTTCAGAATATTTCAGCTTCCAAAGTCAATTTTTCTCTCCTTAAAACTATGATCCCTTGATGTTCTAATCCCCAGATTCATGACAAAACTGAGATTCCATGGTATATGATTTGTAAGCCTACATAGCCTGTTGAATAAATTTCCCAGTGGGAAAAAAAAGAAGGCTTGGGTTACATCAGATCAAGTTTATCAGCTGGACAGTGTGAGGGAGTTTCCTTTATGAATTCTGTAATTATACACCTCTCCAATAATAAAAAAAGATTTCAAGGTCTTTTTTTCTTACCTATTTTTTTCTCACTGTGTACTAAACAGGCTTTGCTTCATGGAATTCAGAAAACCTACTCTTCAAAATGTGCTTAATCAAAGAAAAAGCTCCACTAACATATATTTAAACAGAGAAGGATACTTTTTTTTTCCTTTTTTTAACACCTAAAGTGATTTAATAAGAGCAGCATAAGAATGTCATATATGATTTGCTCTGACTTAGAGAAAAATTAGGTGGACTTACCTACTGAGTGGAATGTGTCCCTTGAGCTCTCTGGCTCCTGCTGTCCCTACGGGTGCTTCATTTCCATCGCTGCTCCTGGCTGTTCCCTACATTCCCACAGAACATGCCCTGTGGAAAGCAGACTTCCACAAGGGAGAAGGAAAATCTGCCTCTGTGCAAAAGGTTTGTTCAAATTAAACGGGCAGCAGCAAGAGGTGCTGTGGGATGGGTTTTCTCCAGGGATCCCCAGAAACAAACCCAACTTTGGCTCCAGTTCCTTAAGAAACACTTGTTTGTCTCCTCCAGCAGCAGCCTGGCACAAACGTGGTTTGGGTGGAGCAGCATCCAAAGGAGGAGTGGAAGGGTTGACATTTTTGTTGTGACAGGTTTTTCAGTCCACATCTGTTGCATTTACATGATGCCACCTATATGCATCAGAGGAAAAGAATTTGCATTTCAGGTTGTTAATTTAGAAATATTTGTGGATCACTATGCTTGCAGCATTCTGTTACAAAGGATTATCATAATGCTGTTCTTTCCTATTTACCCACACCAGACCTCCTCTGGTTCCTTGGATTTAAATAAGCTTCAAGTCTTGCTCTCCAAGCTCCAATAATTCCCCTATTAATTGTTTCTGTTATATGAACATCACAAGGTCTCAGTCAGAATTTCAGGAGTTCCCAGGATAGCTCATACTGACATTCCCTGTCCCAGGGGGTGTCTGAGCACTCGTGTCCATCACTGCAGACCAGCACTGGCAGCATTTCCAGAACCAGAGAGAATATTTGGATAACAGAGTTTTCTGCTGTGATCAGCCTGTAGCCACCATACTCTTCCAGGACCTCTATACTCCTGCATGTCATTCACTCCTTGCCACATAAACCATCAGCTTTCCACAGCAAACAGCTGAGTGACACAGCTGTGTCTTCCAAAACCACACCAAATGAGCCTGGGTGGACACGTTCAGTGAAATACAAATCAGTTCTTGTCACTGTGATCAAAGGAAGCTAAGGGTCAAACAGGCAGTTGAATAAATTCAGGAGAAGATATTTGGATTACTTTTATAAAAGTTTGATAGACTGACTAAACCTAAAAATCTGAACAGAATATTAAAATTTTAAAAAACCAACAAAAAAACCCCAGAAAAACAGTATTAAAATTATTATAGATTGACTTATTTTCAGTTTCCTATGACCTAATTCTACTTTTCATTTCTAAGAAATTAAGCCAGTGACTTCAACGACACTGTGGTATAATCTTAAAAGCATTCTGGCAACTTGTGTCTTAACATAGGCTTTCACCTTGTTTTCCTTGGTTTGGGGTTTTTTTAATTATTTTTCATTTTAAACCATGTGGTTTGGGGTTGGGCTGGTTTTTTTTGTTTGTGTGTGGGTTTTTTGTTTGTGTGGGGTTTTTTTGGTTTTGTTTTTTAGGAAAAATAATCAGATGGATCTACAAAGTAATGAAACACTTTGGAGTACTTTAAGTTGTTTATCCTATCTTCATGCAGCTTGTTACAACAGACTAACTGACTCCAGCTCATCATATAGGAGACATTTTTAGAATAATTTTTAGAATTAATACCATGATAGTTCTGGTATTTTACTGGCCAGAATTATGTGCACCATTAAATATGTGAAGAATTGTGTCTTTATGTGTATAGATGCAGGCTAGTAATGTATTACATGAAACAGAATGCTGTGGTAAGCAGATGTTCCCAGGATAAAGTGTATCTGATGTGCAATAACTTGTTAAACAACCATTAAATTTGTCAAAACTGTTATTTAGCACAGAAAGATAACTAAAAATATTACCCAAGAACTTAATGCAGCTAAAAGTTCACTGGTTTATTTCTCTTATCAAGAATAACAGTCTGAAATATTTTACATTAATTTACAATCATCAAAGAGATCCTTATGTTTATTTCACACAGGTGACACTGAGTCATCCAGTTAGCGCTAATCATTATTCCAAAAATTCCATCTTGTTTTATAAGGTTAAACATTTTTAAGTCATTTGTTGCCAAAACACATCATCAGTCTACAATCACACAGAAAGTAGAAATCGAAATTTCTACAGAGCCACTACCATCACTATGAAGATACAATGCCAAGTGTTTACAACATTCTGCGAGTTATCACTCCTCCCAGCATTCAAGGCAGCAAAAATTCCCTCTTCACTTTTTACTGTACACACAGGAATTACAGTAAAAGGGGAAATTTTGATCCACAATGTCAGGTCAAGGGTAACAGAAGTGCTTCTGAGTCATTTGCTATGTAAGTAGGAAGCGAGCAGGGCTGTGGAACAATGAGGATTCTCCTCTGAGGAAGGGCAGGCTGTCTCCTCAGCCTCAGAGCAGGCACACTCCTCTCCTCCCAGCAGTGAAAATGGCCTGTGCTGGTGGGGCAGGAGAAGCAAGGCTGAGATCCCTGTGGGTCCCAGGCAGCTCTGCAGAGCTGTGCAGAGCAGGACTAGGAGGGGAGCTGCAGTGTGACAAACCCAGATCAGTAACTCACACACAGAGCAGCACAGCCCAGTTTCACCCATTAGAAACATTGGGATGCTTCACAACTTTGGCTTCCTCGAGCCCTGGTTGAAACCAACCACTGCTGTGTGTCCCGCAGCAGCACAGGGCAGGGCTGCTCACCCCTGCAGCCTCCCTGGCAGGGAGCACTCCAAGAACTGCCCTGTTTTCCCTGGCAGCCAGCCAGCAAAGCCCCTCTGCTGGGCTTGGCCCAGAACCTGGCACAGCATGGCCTCTGCCCACAGTGCCCACCCACCACAGAGCAGGACTGCAGCACCCTGGCCACTCCAGAGTGCTCCAGTGCCACACAGAGGTGGCTGTGGCTCGCTGGCACGCTGCTTCTGGCACGGGGAGCCTCCAACAGCGTGGGCTAGGGGCTGTGCAGCCAAAGGGAAACCCTCTGGGAATGCTTTCCTGGCTCTCTGCACAGCAGTACACTCCAGCAGGGAGGCAGCAAAGCCTCTCACCACCCCTCCTCCTGTTCTGGCCTTCCTCAGCCATTTCCCTCCCTCTGCCAGGTGTCCCTGTCCTCTGCTCCCCACTCCAGAGGCAGCAGCAGGGCCCTGTTTGGGATGCAGCACAGCTGCAGGAACACATGAGGAGTGTGTTCCTCCTCCTCTGCCCTGCCAGCTCTCCCTGTGCCTCGCTGCTCCTGCAGCAGCCCTGTGCCTGGGGTGGGCACTCCCTGCCCTGCCCAGCCATGCCCCAGTGCAGCAGGGGGACACAGCTCTCCCTCCTGGCAGCAGCACAAACCATTTCCCACCTCTGGCCAGGCTGAGGCAACTCCTCCCCAGCAGCAAGAGGGGCACAGCACCCCGCAGCCCCATCCTGAGGGGCTCTGCTCCCCAGCTGTGGCCAAAGCCATTGTCCCTCCCTGTCACACCACGGCCAGGATGTGTCCTTGCCCCACACGCAGCGTGGCACAGCAGCTCAGCAAGGCTGAGTCAGGAGCACCCATTTGCTCAGAGATTCAGAGCCCAGCTCCTGCTGTCACACTGTGGACTGGTGTTATTCACGTTCAGCAGTTCAATACCACGTGCCAAGGCAGGGAAACTCACTCCACATCCTGGGAAAGGGAGCACTGCTCCTGGCTACCCTGTGAAATGTAAGTACTGCTCCTAAGATGGCACAGAGAGGGAGTTTGGTGCCCACTGCACCCCTTGGCATGGCCAGTGACCAAAGGACAGAAGTCCTGAGTCCATTTCCAAATGGATGGGACTGTGGCTATCTCCCTTCAAGGCAGAAGGTCCTCAAGGTACATTGCTCAGAGAGAATGGATTGTATGGCCAGAGGAGATGTAGGTATGGGCAGAATAGCACTGAGACAACATTTTGAGCAGCACAGGTTTCCCTACAGGCCCTATCAGGCCTTGTCTCCAGTAGGAAACACAGCCAGAGGAGAAGGACACAGCCTGGGGATCCTGAGGAACAATTTGCCATAGACAGCTTTTGTGGCCACAGTCTGGCTGAATTGTACCTCTCCTTCTCTCCAGCCAGACAGGGAAAGCAGCTCTTCTCTGCTCCACAAGGCCATTGCAAGGTGCTCAGAAAAGGTAGAGAATATGACAGCTGGGGCTCATACAGTAACCTTATCAGCTTTAAACAGCGTTGTACCAAGAGCATCATCTATGCAAAGCCTGCATTTAAAATGGGGCTTCTATGTCCACCTGCAGGTGCTCAGAGGGCAGAATTTTACACAACTTGGAAAATGCCTTTTGCTGTCCCAGGCCTGTGCATGGGGACAAAACTGGGATTTAGGAAATACTTTGATCTGCTCTAACAGCTGCAGACAGCCCAAAATGGAAATGTCCCGTGAGTCAGAGCCTGTTTCCCACTGCTGTGGTGCCCACAGTTTATTCTGGTATCACTCCACGTAAGCCAATAGGTCACTAGCATAGACACTGTGTGAGCCAGACCCTGAACATTCAAGCTGAAGTTCAACCCTTTGCTTCATGCCACGTGTAGTTCAGAGAAAATGTGCACCTTGTGCAGCTCTTGGCCTCACTGGTTTGAATTAAAACTATGTCAGCCTTAGCTCTGAATTTCCTGCGTAGCAAACATTAAGAGAGTCATCCATCCTGCTCTCACTTTCAGTGAGACCCAGCATGAACCCAGCTTTGTTGAGGTAACATGCATTAATGGCAGCCCAGGGTTCATCCCAAACCACACTGCTTAGCCTGTCTGTCCTCAGGAGCTTTTACAGGTGCTGATGAAGCAACGGGGCAGAGCTCCACAAACTTCTGCTTGGCGCCCTTCAGTTACAGAAATCATGGTCAGTCTCCAATTCAGGGACCCGTGAGGTATCCCTTGGTACCCAAAAGGTATTATCTGGAAAGGAATCAAAATTCTGTTCACCAAAATATTTATATTAGCTGAGAAAGCCAAACTCTGCCAAGAAGGGAGCTGGCGAGCTTCCCTGGAGTGTCTCTGCCAGTGTGTAAAGCACAGAGAGCAGCCCCACCTACCACAGCCCCTCTGTGCATGCCCAGGGCTGGTTTAGCTTTAAGTTCAGTGCCAACTATTTGTAAGGCCTCAAAAATCTGGAAACTTTGGAGCGCAGCAGCCGAATGAAGGATCTTGGGAACATCTCTCTGGATTCTTGGGCTGTGTACTTGAAGTAGTTCTGCGGGTGTGCCAACACGTCAAACAGTGCTTTTATCAGCTTCTTGTCCTGGGAAAAGGGAAGCAGATTTTACATCAGCTCCACAGAGGAGTTATGGTCAGCATTACCAAAGTTTAATGCCTGTCTGACTCTAAAAAGATAATGGTGCATTTTACTTTTCAATTGTTTCAGGGGCTTGGAAACATAGCAGAGCAAGGCTGACTTTCAGGCTCCTGGGAAGTCACTGGTGTTCCACATCAGCAGCTCCAGAATTTCTTCCCTCCTCATACATCCAAGAACAGCAAACAAACCACAAAATGAACCCACACTTGAGCTGATATCCAGCAAACAAAGGCATGCACTCAACTTGCCTATGGAAGTCCCCTAACCAAGGTCGGAGAAATTCACAAAGAGGTTGCTTTGCCTAGGGAGGAAAAGCCTTTGCTAATCTACAGGATACAAGGAGCAGCACCAAGTGCTTTCCCAATAAATCAGTTTCCCTGGTAGCTCTGATCCACCTTGAGTCCCCCTGAGCAAAGGGTGCCCTATATCCACTGCTCTGCACAACCAGGAACTGCTGATGCTCCCCATTTCCCTGGAGCAGCTCATGCCTGGTGCACCAAGGAACAGACCTGATGCAGAGCAGGAAGCAAACTCACTTGCACCAAATAACATGACTTCCAACCAAAACCAACATGCTTAGTGGAAGGAATGTACCTTAAGTATTTCTTGATGATTTTCAGATGCATAAAGTCTGCCATCCCGAACAATGTCTTCTATTAGCTCTTGGTAATCCTCTGTAGGGAATGCACAAAAGAGTAATTTGCAGCTTCACTTCACTTACATACTCAATACCTCCTGTGCTTACACACAGAAGCCCTGCCCTCAGACGAAACAGTAGTAATTTACTCTCATATTGGCAGTCAGAAATTATTCCTAACACTTCTCTTTTTATTATGAGAGCAGTGTACTCTGCTGAGCTGCTCAGCATCAATCTGTCAAAAGCAAAGGAAATCATAAAGCACCCAAGACTGGAGTGTATATGGTAACCAAGTAACCTTCTTCAAACCAGCTGAACTGCAGGAACCCACAACCTGTTACTGACTTCTTTCTACAGGAAGAAAGAATAAAAATATTATGTAAGAGGATGCTTTCTTAAAAGCAATCCCCCTGGTCAATCATAACCTGAAATTCTTCAAAAGGAGAGGTCTCCCCTGAAAAATTACTTTTCCACCACTAGTGAAACTCTGCAGACCACAGCAGGGATGACTCCCTCACAGTAAATCCAGTGTGAGCAGGACATACAATATCACTTCACTTATGCTGAAGTGCAAATCCTCAGCTCCAGTTTCACACCTCGTGATTCTGACAAGGGTGAGGTGAAAATCTTTCCCCTCAAGCTTCTTTCCAATATAGATATTTTGCCATCTGATTCTAAGCCACAAGTGGTAGCACAAACACCATAAAACACAGGTACTTTGGCTCTACCTAATTCCTAACTGGGGCCACACGAATGAAAATGAAAGGCACAGAAGTGCATGAAACTTAGATTCTATGTCTGAGCTCTGTAGTTTGCAGCCCAGAGCCCAGAACCCCAGATTTTTGTTTGAAAGACAATGGTGGCACTTAAAAGACTGCAGTGCACTGCAGAATTCCTTAGACTAGGTTTCAGTGGAGCAGCTCCTGGAAGCAGCTGCTGGTGACACTGCTGGGAGCACTGGGCTGCCCTGCTGCTTAGGGAGGGGAGCTCTGCCCTGCTGCAGCTGCAGCAGCCCACATCAGCCCAGCTGCTCCCTCCCACTTACCATCGTAGGTTACATAGGGAACTTGGAATCCTTTGGCACTGTTCCCTTCATTGGACTTGAACTGGATCCACAGTTTCTTGGACCTGGAAGTGAAGGCTATGGGGCGCTCGTAGGTCTGGCAGGTCTCATACGTGGTCACCGAGTTGGAAGAGGCTTTCAAAGCAAACACACAACAGGCAGCTCTGTGACAATGCTTCCCTCTCAAGAGATGTCAGAGCTGTTTTCTCTGTTACCATGAGAAAAATGCTTGCTGGTGTTAAGAAAACTCCCCAAAATGTAGCAGGCCATCAGTGGATGGCAGGCCATCAATGAGGGACTTCTTGGTGAGGGAATATTTTCCTTTTTCCTAAAATAACAGTCTACTGTTGGAAGGACGTGCCTACACTAGAAACTGAGGTTGTTTATCCACACATCAGGCACCTGTAAGGATTAGCAAGCATTTCCTCTTTGCTAACCCAGCCTAGAACTGCTTAGCATAATGCATGACTGGTTAGTTTGAACCATCCACCCCTTCTTAAGAATATTTCTCTCAGTTCACTGGCACATCGTGGCCTTGCACCCTCTGAATTTCACTGAAAACTCTGGGGCAGCATTGCCAAATAGGACTTCTTCATTTGCCATTAAAGAAATTTCTGCTCTTAAATAGAGGCCAGGCAGGCTACATTCAGTTTCTGCAAACAGCAATGCCTGTGAGAGCCCTGTGTTTCCCCCTGAGCTGTGCCCCAGTGGGTGTTTCAGACTCACAGCTTTTTCTCATCACCAGGTAGTCTCCACACTCGTCTTCGATGGGCAGGAATATTTCTGGGACCACGATCAGGATGCGGCGCTTGGGCGGTGGGTTGATGTTCCAAGTGCACTCGGTGTTTGCAGGGTAGTCCCCAGGGTAGTTGGGTGATTCAATATATCCAGTGTAATCTCCCAGCTCCCCTCCACACTGCCTGTCTGGAAAAGGAGCACACTATGCAGGACAAGGCAAAGAGAGGACACCCCACAGCCCTCCTGCACGGGTGACAGTCACATTTCCCTTTTTGCATCTGCTGCAGGTACAGGTCTCCTTGCCAGCCTCTGACATTCCTGTGTGGGTGTGTTTACATGTGTCTGTGTGTGTGTAGGCACTCCAGAGGTGCTTCTGAGCAGTCACCTCTCTGCCCTCCATTCTCCCTCTTTAATTTGCCCTCAGCTACCATAAATCCAGAACAGTGGCTCCCTTTGTAATGGACTCTTTCAAAGGTTGATATTAACAAGAAATGGTTACTAGAGCTATTAAGTTTTGTGAGCCAGCTTCCATTCCTCTTAATAGGAGGGAACAAATCGGGGTGCTGCGAACACAAACTCTGCTCCATCAAGAGAGAAAAGATTTAATAGCAATTACCCCAAGTAATCCAGCACCAAGTGGTAGAACACAGCCATCCCTGACCTTGACAAGGCTGATGGAGCCAGTCTGCAGAAATGGTCTCTCACAGACCTCAGTGAGCCATGTGGGGTGAGATGCAGGCAGCCAAAGAGGAGCAAGCTCTGCCTTCTCTCCAGCTCCCTGGAGCAAAGCTGAGTTTTGCCCTTAGGGCCGCTCCAAACATTAATGGCCCAGTCTTTTTATTTGCAAGAGAGGATCAAAACCATCTTGCCGTACTTACTTTTGCACTGTGTTATGTTTGTTGACCCATCAAAATCAGTAGTGGTGTTTCCAGGGCAGGAAATGCAGTAATTTTGTCCAAACTCAGGCTGGTATGTCCCAATTGCACAGCGAATACATCGGTGAGTTGTGGTGTTGTAAAAATGGCCAGGAGAACACTGAACTGGACAGTAATTAGATAATCATGGTTTAAAAGAGGCAATACTAGAATATGCTTTTATACATTTGTGCAAGACCTAGTGTAATCTCAAAAACTGAAATGCCATATTTGTAAACTGTGGGGGTAACAAAAAAGAGGTAATTTTAGTTAATCAAATAATTCTGTGCAGGTTCAAAGTTCCCAAATGAACACTGTAGAGTGGTTCTATGTGAAAGCAGAAATAAAACCACAGTAATAAACAACAAGGGAAACAAAACAACTTCAGTTTATCAGGTTATTTTGTGCAAGTTAAAAAGATCTACTATCAAATGTAGTTTTCTATGCTGCACAGTCCCTTTTTTTTCCTATTCATTTCAAGCTCTGCTTACTCCCAAATAATTCTTGCTATGTTTTGGAAGCTAGCTCAGCCAGGAGTCCTTCCCTACATGCTGCCCCAACCCAAATGCTTCAGATAAGCTCCAAATAGTTCTTGCATCTGTGATTCCACGTCTCATGTGGCCTCTTCCACATGCAAATTCCTGAGCTCTTCATTCCAGTTAATAGAAAGAATTCCTTTAATCTCCACTCCAATTTGAAAACTGAACCTCATTTATAGACTTGTTTTTGTTTATGTTAAATAAAACTGAAATCAGCTCCTCTTATCTTGATCCAGAGTTTTAACATCGTTTTTTAGTATTTCAATTTCACAAAATTAAGTATGAAAAAGCAGTGTTTGTGGGTTCAGTGATTCTACACTGAAGGAAACTATTAGATATCACACTACTACCAGTAATATTAATTCTTCAATGATACTGCTGAATTCTTACAATATGTTGTAATTCTCAATAAACATATCAACTGAAATGAGAGAGATCTCTTCATCCAAACCACTACCAAATGTTTGCATCAGGACCTTATTTCTATCCCTTATTTCTGCTCTGCAGCAGTAGATTTTCTGTTAAAGACTTTGTTCCCTTCTGATTTATATACGCAATTTTCTTTTACCCACGCTTTTGGTAATCACTTTTAGAAAGAATTGAGGTTTTACTGAATTTCCTGGCAGCCAGGCCAGGCCAACCTGCTGTGGGACTCCTGGAAGGACTGCCCCTCAGGAGGAGAAAGGACCTTCTCTGAATGCCCCACCTGAGCAGCAGCATTTCAGTCTGGCCCGGATCAGTGCAGTTCACCAGACAAACCCCGGCCTCACCTTTGGTCTCACAGTCCTGAAAGAAGGAAGCCCCGCTGTGCCTCGTGGTGAGAGCTCCTCCACAGGGAAAGCAGGACACTCTGCCAGCCTCAGGCTGGTACGTGCCAAGGGGACATGGCAGGCAGGGCTTGAAGCCATCGGGAGAGTATTCCCCAGGGGAGCACTGATCTAGGAGAGGGAGAGCACACATTAGAGATGGAGGAGTGTCAGTGAGCCTGCACAGGCAACAGCTGGAGCTTTATACCTCCAGTGCACTGTGCAGCAGACACTGACAGCCTTGGGGGCCAGGGAGCCCTTCTGGGAGCTGGGACGGATTTCACACTGGACACTCATCCTGTCCAGGGCTCTCTGCTCCTCTCTACAGTGCAATTATGTAGTGATTATCTCCTCAGTCCAGCTAGAGAGCTCTTGAATTCCTCCCAAATAAAATAATTTAGTATTGAACCTAAGATGCCAAAAACATACTTCCAGACTTCTGTAAGTACTTTAATCTTATTATTGAATATCCATATTTCATGGCCATTACTATTACTAACTGTGTGAAAACCTCAAGTGCAGCAAGTAATTGTGCAAATTCAATAAACCAAACATTATGTCTCAAAGACTTTTAAAGCAAAAATACTCTTACCATTCCTCTGATAATCTTAGGTAATGATTATCTGTGCACTGGGCTGCTGCGTTCTGCATGGTGCACAGACAGCACTAACCCAAACTGACTGATTTTACTTCATCACACACCTCAGTATTATCTAGCAAGCTCAGCAATATTCATGAGTATCTTTGAGAAGTTCTGGTTTTCAAGCTCTTCACAAAAGAACTGGCTTCAGTGCCAGTATTTAATAATTACCCTGCTCTGGAAAGGCACAAAACACTGTTGCAGTTGTTCAGCTGTGCTGAAAAATTCTGTCCTTTTAAGACCTGTTACGATAATAAACTGTTAGTTTTAGTTTATAGCTCCAATAAATCACTCGGTGAATAGCTGTTTTGTTAGGAAGTTAAATTGGCCTTGGCTTCGTTTCAGGATATATGACTAACAACAAGCAGGGCATTAACTACCGGTCATGATCAATGATGAAGAGTTTTGTTTATGGCTGATACACCAGGAGGAATCGTTGAGTGCTCCTCCTTGGCTTAAAAATAAAATGCAGCAGGTTAAGCAATGCTCTGGGGCTTATCAATGAAAGCTTGTGAGGAAGTCTGAGCTCCTGGTTCCAACTTTTTCCACCACACATCACTTCTGCCCTCATAAGGCCACACATTCATTTGCTCCCACACTTTTCAAGCCTTTCTCCATTTTATAAACATTCCTACAGAACACTCATCTCTGTACAATTTGTGCACTTCCACAAACATGAATGAATTCAAGCTTTCATTGCAGCACTCCTAATAAGGTAAGGAAAGAGCACTATTTACAATTCCATGACAAGGAAAGACAATTCAGGGTTAGGAAGGGTGATCCTGAAAAGTGCCTACTGACTTCAGAAACCTGGAAGAAATGGAAAGACCTGAGCAAATCTCCTTCCCTCATATAACTCCATGGCTCTAGGGGTAATCAATGCTCTCAGTGGCCTGGCTAGAAAATACCTGCTCTCTCCCCTTAGCTTGTCTTTTTCCATTCACTTTAACCACATGTCAAGTTTGGGGTTTTTTAGTTTGGGTTTGGTTTTGTTTTTGCATTTGGGAGAAGGGGTGTGTCTGTTCTGTGCTTCAAACGGAAACACTAACCCTACAAATTCAGTCTTAAAACTGTACTTTAGGTTTCCTAGACTTGCTCAGAGTCCAGCAGAACAGCAGGACATCTATCAGAGCTCAAAGGAAACCTGCCCCGGGCAGGAATCAAACCCACAACTTGTGTGCAAATGTTGCATTTGAGAACTTATCCCATCAGATCTCTCTTGACAACTTTGCCATCTGTATCTTACTTGTCTTGAAACCATATGTTGTTAAAACTGTGGAGGTCCCTGTGGAACACAACTGAGTTAATCTAAATCTTCTTGGGTTATTTAGCAAAAAGTGCCTAATTTTTGAAAATTTGCACTGCGTAAGTAAGCTTAAAAAAAATCTCCTCAGACATCACTGAGATCCTCCATCTGGGCCAAAGGAGAACTTTTCCATTAAATCTGAACCATTTGAGTCAAGTATTTCCTTCTGATTTTCCTGAGAGGTAGCAACAACAGACAGAAAAAAGGCTGTCTAGCTACCACCACTGCACCACTATAACAGGGTGTTCAAAACCAACTGGAAAAAGCTCTGACTTCTGAGACACACCAAACACTTCAGGCTCTGATTGATCCTCTGTGCATTTGAGAAGAGAGGTCAGTATAGCCACATACAGATTTTGCTATTTACAGTCTAACAACTATTCAATATTCAATGCTAATATCATGATTTCTCCATGCCATGTCCAAGTTTTAATGCCTCAAACTCACAAATATATCTGTTTCTTCACATGACTACATCAAATCAGGCGCAGTGGTAGAAGTGTCCAGACAGTTCAATCCATAAACACATTCCCTGTAAACTGCTCCCAGTTCCTCCTCATCTTCCACCTAGAAATGTTTCAGACAGGCCACTCATCCAGCCCCACTGCAGCACAGAGCTGGGGTAGTGAGGAAAGCCTGTTCAGAAACTCACAGCAGTCACAGGGGCCCAATTTAGCATAACAAATAAGACTTAGTGTTACATTCAATTATAGTAACATTAATAATAGGGGCGTTATTTCAACCCAGAAATCATCCCACCGAGATCCATAGGACTGTGCATAAAATTAGGATGAACCTTCTCTTAAAAGGAAGCCAAACAAAATTAACAAAAACCAAAAATCCGCAAGAAACACCTCTAGGAAGTTAAACTTCTCCAGATATTTGCTTAAAGAAAACAAGTACAGAAGTTTATGATCTTCATTTCTCAAAATTAGAAACTGCATGCTCCCATGTGACATGTGGGAAATACCCAGTCAGAACCACATCTGAAGATTTGCAAATAATGACATTAAATCACAATTCCACTGGCTGGCTTTGCTCTTTTTTTCAGAAACTTGATTGTTTTTTCTCCAAATGAACAAAAGAACCAATTGCCTCTAGTAGACTTCATTTCTGCAGCCACTGTCTTTGTTTATCTTCAATGCCCATTAAAAACCTGGTCTTGAGTCTCATGCAGCTGTTTTAAAGGGGAAAAAAAAGTGAAAGCTTTTCTGATGCAAAAACAAGAAGAAAAGGGGGGTGGGGGGGAAGAGAGGGGCCCACAGGGAACCAGGATTAACAGTTACAAAGACATTTAAAGGCTCTTCCCCTCTTTTCAGCACATTAGCCTTTGAGCATTTGCTCCTATAGACAAACACTGTAGTATCTCAGGGGCTGAGAAGGTGAACCTCATAAAGGAGGTCATGATCCACCAATTCACCATTTTCTTAAGAATGATGCCTTGACTTTATAAGGAAAATCACCAACAAGTGATGCAAATGGATTCTGAAGCGGCATCCTTTAAGTTATTGTGCTGGAGCAGGTCACACATTTAGGTCACATGAGATGGTTTCGCACGCGAAGGATTTATGCCTTCAGTCTATGATTTTCAGGGCAAACAGGTTACCAGGAAAAACAGTCCCATTTTCCCCCATTTGATAAATTAATTTCTTCTTCTTGGATTTTCATAAAATTAAAAAAAAAAAATAAAAAAAAACCCCAAACAACAGTTGTGCAACACAACTATTAATTATAAAGGATTTTCATAAAATTAAAAAAAAAAAAACCCAAACAACAATTGTGCAACACAACTATTAATTATAACGACTGCAAAGGCAGACAGCACTTTGCTTTTCCTTTTAGCTTCCTCTCTCATACTTTTATAATGCCAGTATCATACCACATACAAACCTTTCAGACCATGGTTCATCATTTTGGATGAAATTGCATTATCTTGTTTGCATCCTCTCAGCTGAGGGGACAAAGCTGCTGAATGCTGAGCAATGAAATGCACTGACACCTCCCACACAAGATGAAGCTGCTCATCATTTCCATCAGAGCAGTGCCTGTGCCAGTGCTGCTCATGCCTGCTGTTTTCTGAGGTGACAGCTCTTTGGGGAAACCCATTTGCAACTACTGTGGTGCAAGGATATGCTGTCATATCCTTTTGTGCATCCATTTCAGGAAATGGTAATTCCCAGTGCCTCCTTCCACCTCTGAAAGTATTGGTGTGGCCAACACAGAAAAAAAAAAAAAAAAAGAAAAAAAATAGGACAGGCAAGGTGTGCTTTTGGCACCATGGATGTGATCAAGGTATGACAGAGTTTTAAGCACTGGAAGGGCAGCTAAAGTGCGTGTTCTTTGAACTTATTTTCTTTCAGTACAGAGGTTTCTGGCAAATCACTTTCTGAAAAGGAACAATTGGTCTTTGGCTGCTAAATCTCTCTGAAGTCAAGCTCATGGTGGAGCAGGAACACTTGTAGCCTGGCTAGTGAGTGAGACTGCATTCTCCCCAAGACAAATGTCCTTTCAAGGCAGCATGTAGCATTTCCAGCATGCTCAGAGGGGTCACACATAGACTTGATGCACTGACATTCCAAAAGGGATCTCTGTTTCCTTAAGATCTACTTCAAGGCAGAAAAATCATACTTCTGCTAAGAGAGTCCAGGTCTCTGGGAAGGCTGATGAAAGTTCCATTTTGCATTTTATGGAATATCCATGGTTATGGACCTATCACTGGTTGCTCCTTGGAAGCCACACTCAGGACTTCATGGGATTAACCAACATGAGCCAGTGCTGAAAGGGCTCATCATAGATACATAACTCACACATAACAAGGTAGAAAAATGCAACATTTGAGCCTCTAAAGCATCAGAAAATCACAAACAGAACTGTACAATAAACAGTGAAGTTGAAATAAACCACACTATCCCTTGCAATCAGCAGTGATTTCCCTTTTACCATCAACAGCCACTTAAAGAACAGCAGGCACACAAGTGCAAGCATCCAGCACATTAACAATGATAAAATACCCTGGAAACCACATGCAATTTGTTCCTGCTGTCTTTCTAAAGATTTTCTTCTGTGCTGTGCCCAACTCAAGACTATAGGAGTTAAGACAGGAAAATCAGGGATAGAACTACCTCACCAGAAGTGTGAAACCAAATGAAATTTATCTTGCTGCTGCAATTGCAGGCCAATTACCCAGCACAAAAGTTACCAGAGCAGAAGCTAGACTTTCCCTCTGACACTGCTCAAATATAAATAATGTTTCAGGCAGTGCTGTGCCAGGGGAATTCTACAGGAGGACCAAAACTGTATCTAACCTAGCCATTCTCCAAGTATTTGAAAACAATAAACTAAAACCTGCATTTTACTCAGTAACTGCATCAAAGACGACTTCTAAGTCCCTTGACTTGCGTTGTTCCCTCACTGCTTCCTACTCCTCTGGCCAGACTGAGCAAAAGTCCTTTGCTGTCCAGAGGCCACATCCACCACCTGCACTGAATCCATCTGCTGACCAGCATCTCCTGCTGTGGAGCCACTTTCTGCCCAGAACCACCAGCACGTGTAGGTAAGCAGAGCCTCAATCCCATCCAGAAGCAGCTCTGCAAAACCATCAGATCAAAACAAAGCAACAAAAACCACAACATCCTCTCCCACACAGATCCCTGCACTAGCTTCTTGCCTTTCTTCCCACTATTCCCACTCTATTCTCCTCTCCCCAGCCTGTCTCTCAGCTCCTTCTGCCTGGCAGCCCAAGCAGCACAGCCCCCAGTCCCACCTTAGCCATTCAGCCTGGGACAATCAGCCTTTTCCAGGGAAATGAGGCGTTCCTAACAACGCTGTCCCTGCATGTGCTTTTATGTCCTCTCAGCAACAGGGAGCTGTCTGCCCAGCTCCCAGCAGCCTGACAAGCGGTGTAGGGAGGTTTCAAAGATACTAATTTTCTGTACATTTAATGAAAATAAGCAGGGGAACGAGTGCAAGGAGAGAGCCCTTAACATCGGTGCAAGGGAAAGGCTGCGGTGTGAGCTTCACCTCCTGTTTGATCACTGGGAATCTGCACAAGGACATGGAATGAGTAACTCAGCTGAAGAAAGGAAGGTTCATTTAGTGCTTGCACCTTGCTAAGCACGAGCAAATCAAACCATAAGACACACAGGATCATTCCACTGCTCACACCTGTTAGGGTGTCCAGAACAAACTGGGGCACCAATTCGGCAACAGAAGAGGCCTGACTTCTACAAATTGTTCTTCAAAACCTTCATCTTCATATGCTCAGTGGCTCTGGTTTAACCATGGGCAGGTTGTTTGTGCTCACCCCACCAAAGAGCCTTCTGAGCAGGCATTGCCCAAAATTCGCTTTTCTCTCTGAACTAGCACAGAAATGCCACGTATGCTTCTCGTTTGTGCTGCGACATTAAACTGATTCTGCAGCTATCTAAAAAAAATTGTGCTTATTCTCTGTTCCAATTTCTAATTGCAATTCACATTGCCTTCTCCACCTGCAACATTTTTAGCTTACTCATTGCTGTTTTCTCCAGATGAAATCACAAATATCTTTGGAGTCATACTGTGCTCTGTACAATTGGAATGACAGATTTTTTTCAAAGCCTTTCTCTAGCATCCAACAAATTAGCTTGAAAATATCCTTGTAAACTCATCTTGGTGAACTTTCCAAAATCTTTCAGATTTATTGCAATGTTCCAAGAAAAAAGAAAAAAGAACTCTTACAGCTTTTTCTGAGATCTCCTGAGTAATTCCTTGCTTGCTTGCACAGATGTTTTAAACTATTTGCCTGTTCTACGAACCCAAGTTTTTCTAGAGTTAGCAAAACTGGATTGGAAAATCTATTCTTAGGCCAAATGCTGCTGCTGGAAGACGTACTAATTCACTGTGACAAGCATTTTAAAGGCTTGCTGATTCACAATCCACCTACACGCTGCCTACCCCGTGCAGCCTGAATTAGCTGTCATGGTTGTTAGGCCTCTGTGGAGATGTAACATCTGACCCTTCTCCTTAACTTTTGTGCTCTGGAAGCACTTACTGTTGGCTGCATTATGGTGGTGCCCTCCAGTGCCATGATAATTAAGACTTTTCTCAGTGATGGCCCATAAAATCACCATGAATTTATAACTCTGTCATGAAGATTCTCTGGGACTCTGAGCTTAATCAGCAAAGTGAGTGTGACTGTATCAAATTCTGAGCAGCCTTTTCCTTGGGACGAGGGAGAAGTGAGCTGTGCACAAGCTCAAGAACACAGCATTACTAAATTAATAAAGTATACTAAATGTAGTCTTAAAAGTAACATTGGTGATGCCAAGGCCATCGGTGCCTGATGTTATTCCCAGGATTTCTGGCTTCGAGCTTGTTGCAGGCTGTGCATCAGCTGCAGTGCAGTGCAGTGAGCCCTTGCTCTACTCTGTAACACATCAACTGCCAACAATAAACTCACAGAGAGAATTTCAGCAGCACTAACAGCACCCCTCTGTGCACACCCAGCCCTGCTCTCTCCTGGATGGGAGAACCCTGATCCCTGTGAGATGCCTGAGCACAACCGTGGAACACACGAGGTGCTCCATCCCAGCTCCCTCACAACTCACCACATCTGGCCCCCGGGTGCAGCTGTCCCACGCCACAGGACTGCTGTGGCTCTGAGGGCTTGAGGGCCTTCCTGGCCAGCTCGTGGTCCGTGCCCGAGAGGCGGATGCGGAACTGGTCCCTGCTGACCGTCTTCCGCAGGGTGCGGATGGTTTTCCGGAACCGCTTCTCCGTCTTCTTGCGGGCGCAGCGCACGTCGCACGTGTCTGAAAGGCACCAGGGGTGAAAGCTGCCCTAAGTGACCGTGCACAAAATCCCGCCCAGCTCCCACCAACCAACTCAAATCACTGAGAAAGCGACTTCTGGGAACAAGTCTGAAATCCTCAAGGACAAATACACTGAGCAGCTCTTTGACCTTTGGAGCTATCTCCATCCCTCACTCTTCCTGAAACAGTGAAATTAGTGTTCAAAACAGGAGATACTTTTTCTCATAATTTTGCATACAGACAGAAGTGAAAAATACAGAAATCAAGGAGCAAATGGCAAGAAGCTTCAAAGCGCACCTGGAATTATTTTCCAACCAACCTGTCACCTCCTTCCGGCTCGTTTCCAGCTCAAAGTCCGCAGTGATAAAAATCTCTCTAGTCGCTGCCAGTCTACTGAGGGCTCCATGAACTTTCTTGCCAGAGCTGCATGTTAGGTTTACATAGTGGAAGCTCTCCATTACTGAGTTTTGTCTCTCTGTATGAACAAAACCAAAGGAAGCAAAAGCTTGGCCAGGTCTGTTATTGGACGTTCACCGGTGCTCAGCACGTGGGTTATCGTGAAGAGTTAAAGAGGAGCAAACCTCCACAGGCCAGTGAAAGAGCAGCTTGGGCAGTCTCTCACCTGGTGCCCCCTCACACAGAGTCATGGCCATTCTCCTGGTTTCAATGAGGAGATAAGGTTTAGGTAAAGGAAACACCCAGAACAAGCTCTGGTTCTGGAGGACATAACTTGTCACTGAGCATTCAGCTCAGTCCCTCACTGTCACTCTGCTAAGGACAAACAATCAGACACACTGATTCGTCATATTGTCTAATGACTCCTTGCCCCATTTTTTTTTTTTTTTTTTTTTTTTTTTTTTTACATACTCCTCCTCATTTTCTGCTGACTTTGTAAATTCCCAGGCTATTCTTTCTGCTTTGGAACAGATGGAAGAGCTGACCTCACTGCATCCATCTGGGGCTGCTGAAGTATGAAAGGAAGACAAGAGACAAGAGGAATAACCCTATGACAATAGAGTCAGCATAAAGGTCAGGAGATTTTTCAACGAGGCACCAGACAGTAAGGAGCAGGTGAGAAAGGAAAGAAGAGAAAGACAAAAAGAGGAAGAAAAAGAAGGAATCAAATTAATAAAAAGAATGGTTGATTTTACTGAGAATTTACTAGCAGTATTACAAACAAAAAAATGATAAGGGCTTTCCTAGCAAGACTGTGAGGATGCCACAAGGAAATCCTGGGATCTGAAATAACTGTTGCAGGAGTCATGGCCAAGCAGGAAGAAGTGAAGAACAGAAAACCATCAGTCCTCTGTGCTTTGTTTGTGGTGTTCTTCTTATCTGGAAAGCACTTAACCCCTGAGTTATGGCTCTAACCTGCTTACCTCATTTTTATATTCATACCTGGTATCATCTGCTCCAGACCTTCTTGAAACATCTCAGTCTTTTTCAAACTACATTTTCCTTCATTTAATTTAAAGGTTACGCTTATCTTGATGGCTGAAGCATCTTCAGGAAGAAACAATGAAACACGTTATTTTTTAAAAAGGAGTAGAAAACTGAGATAGCCCTAATGTCACACCACAATGATGACAACAAAAAGTATGCCGACATGAAGTGATCATCACAGAAAACCTAATGAGATGTCAGAATCCTCCTGCTGTGAAGTTAGTTCACAACTGGAATGAGAATGAAGTGTAGTACATTTTATAAGGGGGGGGAAAAAGAGAGAGAGAGACAGAGAAAGGAGATCAAGACCAGATCTACTATTGGCTGAAATCAAAGGAGGTATTTCAAGTAATTTCAGAAAGTAGTTTATGTCTATGGCTGTAAATGCCTTCTAAACATTACTGTCCAACAGCTCAACCTAAACACACTGTGTGTTGCCAACACTGTCCAGGTTTGGATGACTAAAAGGAGACATAATTCCTGGGCTAAGTGTTTATTTCACTACTGATCTTTTTCTTTATTTTTAAGACTCAGTTTGAATGATGCTTATGAAGCAACATAAGGGAATTTTCTGCAGCAATAATGAGCTACAATCACAAGGAAGAAAAAAGTGATAAATTATAAGGGGGGAGGGGGGAAGTCAACAGAAATACCTTTGTTTCACAGTTATCAATGAAAATAAAACAGTAAACTATGTAACAGTAAATATGGTGATTACCCAGCCAGCTGGAAGCATTTGCATTTTGCTGTTTTTTCTTAAGCTGAGAGGACCTGCCACAGGTGAGGGTGTAGGCATCTTGTGTTCCTAACAGACAGACAGACAGTAAAGACACAGGCACAGTGCACACACTGAGGACTCCTGTAGCATAAAACACATTTTAAACTTGTTGACTGGCATCAACACACAATGCTGTTCATAAAATACTCCACATTAGAGCTTGCCTCTTCCTAAGCCACTCAAAGGATTCAGGAAGAGAAAGCATCAGTCCCACAAGCAGCAGCTGAGTCCTGTGGGATGGAGGGGCTGTGTGGGCACAATCCCAGACCCCACGCAGGGCTGGAATGCCTTTGCCCATTCACCAGTGCCTCTCAGGGCCAATTAAGGAATGGCCCAGGGAGCACAGAGAATTCTTCCCTGTCCTCCCCAGCTTCAAAAAGAGACTTGTTGTGAGAAGGGAATCTGAGGGTAGAGTGGTTATAAAAGACAAGGAAAGAGGGGCTTTCCTGGACACTGCCAGGGATATGGCCCTTTATTATCTGCAGTGAAAGAGGAAAGGTCTCTGTTTATTGACTGCTTCTTGGGGCTTTCTTGACAGTGAGGAGGTTGGCCACCCTTACCCTCTGTGCTCAGTTCTGTTAGCTGGGACTTACCAGAGAATACCTGGACATCTGGAGAGCAGCTCAAAAAGCATCTATCACTCCCACCACTCTTAATGCAGTGCAGCAACACCTTGGGTGACACACTGTCAGACAAGGGATCTTTTGTCTCTAAACAGGATAAAACAAACACTCACAGCATTAAAACATCTACCTTCACCCTACCAATAAATCAGCACACAGCTGCTTTTGTAGCCAGTACCTGAGAGCACCCATGCAATTATTATGCTGTTTAGACAGAAAATTCAAGCCAAATAAAATCACTGGAAGATCACACCACAAAAGTAACTTCCTTTATCATGAGCAAGCCTTCTCATGCAGAGGAACAAAAGGAAATAGAAGAACAGCTAGATAAAAGCACAGGAAAGAAAGCATCAAAATCCCTCAAAGTATCTCCTGTTTTTGGGTTGGTTTGCTGTTTGTTTTTACGAGTTTCAACATCACTACCATCATGCCTTGCTAAAAATGAAAGCAGAATACCAGGAACAATGACTCATACCACTTAACTGGACAGACCACCAAATTTGACTGTAACCATATGGCCCACCAGACACATCAGGAGTAGAAATGTATTTATTAGACACCTTACCAACACAGTCCTTTTTATTCCAGTGTAGCTTGTAGTTAGACTGACACAGGCATTCATAATCTCCCAGCGTGTTCACACACAGCTGCTGGCAACCACCATTGTTGATGCTGCATTCATTAATATCTGCAGAGGAAAGGTAAAGACATTTTTTAAAGTTGCTCTTCATGAAGTTATGCACTCCAACTGCACTAGGTAAGTGTGGACATAAATACTACTCAGTAGAGTCTTGAAAAACTTCAGGGATGCTACCTGGACACCCAGCTTGAATCAGTTTGTCTTCATGGAAATCCCTTGATAAATGTCAAAGCAGACCAAACACTGGTGGCTCATAATTAAACAATATCCAGCCTCAGCAATATGATAACAAATCAACATTAAGAAAAGCAGACCAAGTTAAGTCTGTGTTGCATTTTGTCTGGTTAATTAATATTTCTAATTTTAAATAAAAACAGAGAACAGGGCAGGATTCATACTGACCAATGCTCCAAAGTGCTCTGATAGGTGCAATTACTGTGTAACACTTTGGCTCTGGGACCAAACACCACCATTGTGTCCCCCTTGTCTCTTTTGGCCAATTATCCAATTTTGGAGCCTTGTCCTGCCCAGTAAATGCCAACAGGAGTAGAAATTACCAACACAGCACATGCTGCCTCTGGTGCACACTTGCATGCTGATGCAGAATGCACCATTCAGCAGTGCTGCAGCCCAGGGTCAGCACTGGGGCCAAAACTATTTATCCTCTTCATTAAACCTGGATGGTGGGACAAGAGTTCACCCTCAGCAAGGTCAGAGATGAGACAAAACTGGGAGGAGTGGCTGATGCACCAGATGGTTGTGCCACTATTCAGAGGGACCTTGACTGCCTGGAGAAATGGGTCAATAGGAATCTCATGAATTTCAACAAAGGGAAATGCAAAGGTCTCTGTCTTTGCTGCTCAGATCCTCCTCAGCCCTGAGGAGGGCTTCACTTCTCTCCCAGAGCTTTATGGCTTTAAGTGTACATAAACCCAGAAAGCTGCCATCAGGAAACCTGTTGAAAGTCCCATCAAGTTTGTTCATCTGAGGGTGCCTACTGCCACACACACTTATCTCAATGCTAGTAAGTTCTTGTCACTGCTGTCCCCAGACTAGACACCCTCTAAGTAACAATTTGTTAGAAAACACTGTGAAGCACGTTACAAAACCAGTCTGATTTGGGGGGGAAATGTACTTTTAACAGAACTGAGGCAGCAGAGGAATAATGTAGAAAGAAGACAACACCTTAAACTGGTACTGCTGCCTAAAATGCCACAAATCTTTGGTTTTCATTGACCTTTTCTTAGGATGCCAACCTCTTATCTACAACACTTACTGACTTCTCCCCCAGAGGTCAGAAGGTGTATTCTCAGTGTCCTATCAGCTCTGACCAGCCTGTGATTTGCCAGTCAGCGAGGGACTTACTGTGGTATGAGGATTAATTAGGATCTTCTGCATGACAAGAAAAGGCCAGTTAGCAGCCAACAGCAAAATTACAGCTCATTTTCCTCACTGGTAGCCAAAAGAAATTGAATTAATGCAGAGGAATTAATCAGAAGTTGTCTTTTACTAAGTAGTGCACATCACAGTGTTATTCCACATCCAGATAAGTTCCCATGTTCATCAGGATAAAACACAGTGATGTTATAGCTCTGTAACCTCATTTGCAGAATTTCTAGAGGCAGAGGGTAGAACAGACAGGCACACAGGGATTTCTGAATTGTTATCTCCAACTGTGCTCATTCTGCCTCAGAAATAAACAGGTCTTACTCAGAATTGAGTAAAATTTGGACTCAGTAAGGTCTTGCCTAAAGCTTGATTCCATTTAGTGTCCCAGTTATTCACGTTTCCTCATGTTAATTCTGGGAACTTGTCAAATGTCGAGCTTCTACGAACAACTTTCTCCTTCCTTGTAGGAAAGACATAAAAATTTAAGAGTATTAACCTTGGCCAGTGCAAAGTGGCACTACATCAACTGCATTCCAACCTACATCACATGAGCATCTGACATGTGCACCTGCAGAACTGCAGCTTTCAGAGTTGTTCAGAGCTTCATGTTCTTCAAGCCCTACTTTATGACTTTTTACCCAAGTTAGTGACTCTTCTTGCATGTGGAAATTGTATTGAATTATGGACTTCAGATCCAAGAACAAACTCCATCAGTTTGTCCTAATAGTTACAGGTCCCTTTTGCATGCTCAAAATCACTTGGGCAAAGACAGGAATAAGCAGGATCAGTTTCTCCTTTCCCTGGGTCTCATTATCACAGCCAGGTGTAAAATTTACTCTGGCTCTGCCTCAGTCTGTGTCCTGCAGGGACTGTGAGCAGGCCAGGGGGCTGGGCAGTGTGTGTGACTCACCTGCACAGTGGGTGAAGCCGTACAGGGCGTAGCCCTTGTTGCAGGAGCACTGGAAGGTGCCGGGGTGGTTGGTGCACGTGTGGTCGCACGCCCGCTCGAAGGAGCACTCGTCAATGTCTGCAAGGTGTAAAGGGAGCCATCAGCACCCCTCGGGCTGCCCAGGGAGCCCTGAGGAGCCAGCCACTGCAGGGATGTGCAGATTTGTGTGAGCCAGGCAGATCCTTTCAGAGCACGTCGTGTAACATAATGAAATGACAGTTTTTAAAGAATGCTCGGTTTGCCAAACAAGCTTTTCCTTGGCAAGCACAAACACTGCTGTTACGTTTTTACAATTATGTTTAAATCGAATTATTTCTCTTCTGTGGGAGAAGAAAACTGCTGAGAAAACTCTTATTTCATTAGGATTACTCTCCATTGAAATTAACTGTATGAAGGAAAGCATTGCCTTTGTTTTTTCCTCCCTAAATGAAGCTCTGTATTAATGTCCAGCACCTGATTTAGGTCTGCTGAAAATCACAGTGTTCTCTGAGAATGAACATTCATTATACCATCAAAAGCACCTAAAATTTCTGTGCCATTACATTTTGCATGCCAGGTAAAAATGTTGCAAGACAAAAAAAAGTTCACATCAACTTCATTAGCACTTTTCATCAGTCTTTTTTCTTGGACATGCAGCATGATATCACTTTTGAAACAAGGGAAAGAAACAGAGGTTGCAAAAGGGCAAAAAGGAGTGCAAGATTTTAAGATGCATTCATAAACAGATTTCATTTAAATAAAACCCCAAACTATCTTGAAAATCAGATGTTTGTACAGTAAGTTTTTTCCATATAAATAGTTGGCCTTCTTTGCCTATTTATAAAGGATAAAAATGCACCAAAAAAACCCAGGTGAAAATTACTTTCTCTTGGTCAGTTAAGTTTTCTGAAAGTCACCTTCAATGTCAGCTGGTTTCCTAGGAAATCACATAATTCACCATTTGGCTGACTGAATTGACATTGTTTCAGCCTGTTGCTTTTCCACAACCACAGACCATTTGATTTTTTCTGCATTTAAGCAGCTTAAATAGACTTGCTAAATCTATATGTACAAACCACTATAGAGCAAAGCAAACATGCTTTGTAGGTCTCACAGGAGAAATCCATGTCATCCTCAAGAGCAAATGCTCCGTGGTGTTTTAGGGAACAGATTCCAGTCTGTCTACAGACCTATAATTTCAGAGGTCACGTTATATCTTTTTCCTTTAATAATGAGCTCATGGCAACTAAATATCCCATTAAGAAATAATACTTTCACTGCAATGGTGAATCAGTCAGAAAGACTGAGAGAGATACATTGCCTAATTTTCCCTGTAAATTATTTTAAGATCATCAAGGCAGGGGGAAGCATTAACCTCATAGAGAGGTTTTGATACGATGCTGCCTCTGTCTCTTCCAGATAATAGCTCACTGTGCCATTAAACTTATTTACTACAATAGCATCAAGCCAACTGTATTAACTCAACAGCTGTTTCAGAAGAAAAAAATCTTATCTGAGGAATGGAAATGATTCTGGAGTGCATTATCACTTCATCATTGTTGTAGATGTCCAAGCCACGCTGATTTGTCCTACTTTTGTTGTACCATTGTCTCTCCAGTGCACATACCTTGACAGGACTTCTCATCTGTTAATAATTTAAATCCTTTTCTGCAGCTGCAATCAAAACTGCCAACAGTGTTTTTACAGAAATGATCACAGCCTCCATTATTGGACTGGCATTCATCAATATCTGGAACATAAAAAAATAAAAAGCCTTCAGCAAATTAACACAGAGCTTCAGCACACAACCTACTCCCACTGCCAGATTCAGAAAATAGTCACGTCCAGTCAGCTGGAGGAGCCCAGAAACAAAATCTAGTGAGACTACCACAAAGTAAGGAAGGAAGGAAGATCAGATCCAACTCTTAAGAATGATCCAGCCCATTCAGCCCCAGGACAGTTATTTGTTCTCATTTAATGTATCCCTGTCAGTTGCATTTGGGCAATGCATTCATAAAAGACCATTCCCTAAGTTCTGTTTGGAAACACTTTGGCTCCAAGGCTCTCTAAGAGGTTTTAGTATTTTAAACATTCTCTCCATTTCCTTTCTGTAAGCCCTGCAGAAATCTCAGACAGAGACTTCCTGCACTACCCTGTCCTTTTCATGGCAACATTAGAATGAGGCCTTTATCTAATATTAATTGACTCAGGCCTGGGGATTTCATCATTTTTACTTAGCAGAGCAGCCTTAACATCTAATTACTGGAAAAGCAATATAATATACAACTTAACCGTGCCTTTGCTCCTTGCCAGAGCTCTCATTAGAGCTGCTTGGAGCAGTGTATGTTTATGAAACACATCCCTGTTTACACACGGGTGTTTATTTACCACGGCTCCTGATGCCCAGCCAGGCTGTTGGGCTGGGTACCTGTGAGCACCCACACACCTGCCAGCCTCAGTGCTCAAACACAGAGCTGGTTTAGCTCTCCCAAACCTCACCTCTGGAAAACGAGGCACGGGAGGTGGAAGTGGAGAGCAGGGAGGCAGAGAAGAAGAGATTCTCTGCACGTGATACACCTGATGTGAAGGAAACCACAGCCTCCACCCTGGTGCAGTCCTTCCTGCGGTCAGACTGCACACACCGGCTTCCCCCTGGACACTGGGCTGCCCCTGTTTGGAGATTTGTGTCTTACAGGACCTGGTAACACCTGATGGGTGTGCGGGAGTATGCAGCCCACCTTTGCAGGTCTTGCCATCGAACTGGAGGGTGAACCCCACGGGGCAGCTGCAGTGCACTCCGGTGGAGGTGTCCTTGCAGGTGCGGTCGCAGCCGCCGTTGTTCACCGCGCACGTTTCTGGCAACGACACAGAGCTCAGGTTTCCCCGGGGAAATCAGGACCAAAAACATCATGGGATACAAGGCACAGCCCCAAGCACACTGCTGTTCAAACATTCAGCCTAGAACACACGCGCAACTGCTAAATACACGTGTTGGCACAATCCCTGCCTCAGCTATTTCCAGGCTTTTTGTGGAAACTCTACAAACCAAAATGCTGTCTTCTGGGTATTCCATTTGTGTCTTAAACACAAATCCCTGCTCCTTGATGATGAATCTGTTACTGCCAGTCAGTTTCCTTACACCCACAGTGAATCCTGGCTGATGCCCTGACACTTCCCACCAACGAGACACCTGATTACACTCAGCACTACTAAATGAGTTTTCTTAAATCCCTCCTGACTCATCTTCCCTACTACCTGTGCTCCCAGTCATGGTGGGTAACACCCTCACTGAGCATTCCCTCAGCCTGAGAACCCAGGTGCCATTCCAACCAAAGTTTGCTCCTCTAACTCCCTGCTATGCAAGCTATGCCTAAATCTCACCAAACCTTGCTAGTGACCACTCCTAAAACACAGTTCTACACATCCTACAAACAGAAATAACTCACTCTTTGGCATTCATCCTCTTGTCATCAGTCTAACCACCTCAGTCAGGCTAACAGCCTTTTTACTGGCTGGACAAATACAATTTTACATGGCATGTGTTGATTGAGAGAGCTGCAAAGAACGCTTTTTTAATGTCTGCTTTTTGAAATCTACTTTCTTCTAGCTCTGTATGCTTGTTTTCTGCAGCATCAAACAGATGCTACTTATTGTCAAGTTTTGAGAGCTTTACTGGTTTATTCCCTCCCTGTCTCTCATCTCACACACAGTATTGGCAGGCTGTGCCCAACCTCCAAGAGAATACACAGTGCATCTTCTTTCTTCCTCTGCCATTCTTTTTGAAAATAAAGCTATTCATTACATGTCTGAACACTAGGGAATAATACTATTTCCTGAAGTGAAAGTCGATCATCTCAGGCAGAATTCAGCCCAGAGCTGAAGGTTACCATTAAAAAAAAAAAAAAAAAAACAAAAAAAAAAGCCCCCCACTAATTCATCAATCTAAAAGGTTTCAACGAGCAGCAGAATTATTTTGGATCAGCACTTTTACCCATAAGCAAGCGTCGCTTCACTCTCTTGTCCACATCAGCTGCTGCTGTGGTGTTTCCCTCAGAAACTTCAACAGCTTCTTCCCTCTCTGTAAGGAACATGAAAAAAGCAAGTGAGTAAAGGTGCCCTGACCAGAACCCTCATCTGACATCCAACACACACAACCAGCTGCATCACACACTGAATTAGAGACAATCAGAACTGATCAGGCAGAAATAAGCTATTTTTAAAGGGCAAGTAGTAATAAAAATCGTGAAGACCCTTCAGTCAAAACCATGAGAATGTTTTGCTTTTGTGGCTTCCTTACAAGTCATGTTTGCTTCAGTATCCTTAACAAAACAAAAGATGTGCTGCAGATGCAGTAAAGAGCAGCAAGATGAAAGAGCTAACTGAACTGCTCTGTTAGGAGTGCACTGTCACCATCCATCCCAGGCTAATTACAGCAACCAGCCAGTCATGCCTGAGCATTTGATTTCAATCAACAGACAACAAACTCTTCCAGCGACTGGAAGAGTTATAAATCTTAAGTGCTTTCTTTACTAGATAACTGCCTTGCCAAAACTATACATTAATTGATTTCAGAGTCCCAGTTTTTACAGATTACTCCTTGCTTACACCCTCTGGCTCATGCTGCTGAAGAAACTGAACCTAAAGTATCCCAGAGGGAAGGAAGCCTGCTTTGGTCAGTGACAGGCCTCCTGTTTCAGGGGGACCAGTGATAATTACAGGTTGCAACAGCATTAGGTAGCTACTTAAATAGGGAAGCATAACTTGCCTGGAATCAGCAAGTTCCTTAATTTTGCACTCCTTGACATTTTCTAGCCACAGTTACGAGGAGCATTAATTGTGCCCACACAGCAGCAGCACACCCCCTGGAGCTGGCCATCCACAGCAAAGGACTTCCCTGCAGAGCATACTGACCCAGGCAGGTTTTGCCATCCAGGTGCATGACGTACTTGGGGTGGCAGCCGCAGACGGGCCCGCTGTCAGCATCGTCACACGTGTGCTGGCAGCCCCCGTTCCCGTGGTTGCACGTCACTAGGGAGAAAACACAGGGCACTCTCACAAGCCCTTCCAGCACCCCTGAAGGACAGTGTGCAGTCCTGAACATCCAATGCACCCTCCTAAGGTGCCCCCGTCCTGAAGGGCTCTGTGAGAGTGAGACACTGCACAGCTCTTCGCGGAGCTGAGCTTCAGTGGTTATGGATGATGGCACAACTCCCAAACTGCAGACACTGCAGCAATCAACAGACCTGTGTGACAGTGTCCAGAAAACACACCAACTCTGGTTCAGTTCAAACACACACAGTCCAGGGGTGCCATCCCACGTTAGCTAAAACACCCCAAGTCCCATCTCACTGCAAACAGAACGCTGTTTGTTCACTTTGGGAAACCATAAGCATATGCAGAATGTTGCCTACAAATGCAGCTCCTCTGGTTCTTGGACAGCTCAAATCCTGGTCGGCATTCACAGGCAACTCCTCCTTTGGGTGTTTCTCTGCAGATGTGGGCACAGCCATGGTCTTTGTTCATGCAGCTCATGCCTTCTGTGAAACAGGAAAGGTACAAGAGCATCAGCATCCTCAGCAGCTCTGGGTGCAGGCAACCAGGTCAGTTCAACACACACAGACTAAGCCTCTAGCTCTGGAAAGACTCTGCAGGGTTGGGACAAGAAATTTCAGCTTACAGAGAGGAAAGGCAGCGAGTGCAGTCCCGGCCCCAAGGGCTCTGGGTGCAGGCAACCAGGTCAGTTCAACACACTCACACAGACTAAGCCTCTAGCTCTGGGAAGACTCTGCAGGGTTGGGACAAGAAGTTTCAGCTTACAGAGAGGAAAGGCAGCAAGTCCAGTCCCGGCCCCAAGATTTCTCCTTCTGTGACCTTTTCTGTGCCTGTTCTTTGACTGCAAGGCCAAAGAGCAACACTCACAGATTTGTACAGCACCTGCATTCTCATCCAATGCTCTCACTTTATACTTTTAGATGTTCATAAAACCCCCTCATTTCTTTTATAAAAGTGGCAGTGTCCAAGTCTAAAATGAAGTTCTTATTTCTCTACTTAAAACAACAGCCAGCATACACAGAAATGTTTAGAACAGCAATCACAAGGGTCATCCCAATTTCAATTCCTGGCTTACAAAGCAGATTCCCAGAGTCATAACCTATCTCAGCTGTGACCAAGTGCTGGGTCCTGTCTCAGACCATGCCAATGTGCAGATTGCTCACACGCTGTACATTAATTCTCTTTATTGTTAACAATTTTGTTTTCATTTTTTTTTCCTGATTTCAGTCCACACCACCCGAGATAACCTCACTGAGTTTTATCACAGTGTTCTGTATTTCTACACACTTTCCCAGTTAGATAGAATTTAGTGCCAGTGTCTGCTTTAGCCAAATGAAGAACCAGTGTGACACTAATGACTGGATTTCTTTTGCTACACCTCCTAAAGCATTCTGTCATTTTTATCTCTGCCAGCTCTTGCACAGCACTCGACTGCCAGAGTGTTTTCCTGACCCTTGCAAAAAATATAAAGCAAATTAAACAGGGAGGAATAGTTTCTAAAATTATTGCAAAAGCTTCTTTCCTCTTGCTCCATGGTTCAGACACAAATCAGTGTCTTGGCCATTTGCAGGAAGGTGGCACAGCCTGTGCACACACAACACAAAACACCGGGCAGCTGCCTGAGTTACCCAATGGGATCAACTGACCAAATTAAACAAACAGGTTTTCTTTTAAAAGAATACCACAGGTTTTTGATGAAGTCCTCTACAGTGCTACAAAACCAGGAAAGAGAAGAGGTCTGAATGCTCTCTTTGGGTGTACAGAGAGCACACCCTTACCATCAAATTCTCTGCCTGGGCACATTTGGCTTTGAAAGGACAAGTTACACCAAAATGTTATTTTTTTTCCCAGTGAGAACATTCCATTTATGAAGACCAAGGGGAACATTCTTTGGCTGCAAGGGCTCATCCCACACCACCCCAGTGAACATCTCTGGAGCTGAGCAGATGCACAATCAGGAGCAGAAGAGCAAAGGTGACCACGCTGCAGAAAAGGGACTGTCAATTCCACACCCTATATATTTTTTAAACTTACACAGCCCTTTTTCCAGCCTTTCTACTGAGTGAAACAAGCCCACTGCACTGTGAGGCAGAGGTCAGCTCACCACCATTATTCCACTCACTTCAATTAGGTCCTTTTTCCACACTGCTATTCTCACCCCCTGCAGCACCAGCTACAGGACCCTTTCTCTATTAAGACAGCTTTAAGCAACAAAAGAATGGACATTGCAGAGCCCAGATTATTCTGCTCTACTGGCTTTTTGATTCCTTTCCCACAGTGAGGGCTCTCCAGAAGTCCCACAAGACAATGAGACTTCAAATCCTGCAGCACACAGGCACAGCCCAAGGAGCCCACAGGAAAGCTATCACCCATTATTGTGTCAGTCAAGGAAGGAGACAACTTTTGAGGCCACAAATTAGCCTCATTAGCTCTGGTGTTTTTGTGAAAGTTCTGGTCTTAAGCATGCAGTATAGTTTGGTCTGTTAGCTCAGAGGGGTTAGAGAGCATTAAGAGAATTATCAGCTTAGTTTCTGTCAACAGAGTTATTCTTTTGTCTCTATTGAGCTACCAAAGAGGAAACTGTTCAAGCAGGTACTTTGGTAAAGTTCACTGGCACCAAACAAATGGTTTATATGCTCCATTTGGGATTGTTCCATTCTGAGTGAGCAGGCTTCAATCAGGACTCCACAGAAAGCTAAAACTGCTTTCCAGACCAGGATGCATTTTAATAATAAGGTATCCATTGTGGAACAAGGAACTCCACCAAACCCACCAAAATCCAGCTGACCTAAAAGGCAGTTTCATAGAAGATACACACATCCACCCATTCCAGCATTTACTTTGGGACTGCTGCTTGTTTCCCAAGCTGGTAGATCTCTCTCAGCCCTGTTTTACAAGGATGTATTAAAGAGATGTCTGTAAAGCCATAAATGCTGTGTGGCTGCAAACTCCTTGGTGGACACAGGGTCTCCCAGATCACATTGTTCCAGAGCTGTTGCAATGGCAGACTGTGTTCCAGAAACAAAACCCAGGGAAATTTTGGTCAAATCTCCCCACACGCTTCCCAGACACACAATTTCTATTGTACCCTGGCCTACTGACCCACAAATGTCTTGGGATGGATGGCTCTGGATTGTCCCACTCAGCCAAGAGAGGTGAACCCAGTGCCTACATGCTTGAACAGTTCCTGAGCCAGATGGGACATTTCTGGCTGGACCTTCTTGAAGTTACCCAGCAAACCTGAGATCTGAGCACTCCTGCCACTGGTAAAACAAGCCAGCAGCATTTCCCTATCAGGTCACACTAAATTAATCTCTTACATATATGATCTGGGTTTAAATATTTATATTTTTTTGCACAGAAGGTGTCAGGACAATATTCCCAATCTGCTAAGAGCACTAAGGCTCCATTTAGGGCAGGTTCAAGCACTGTAGGACAGAGAGAGAGGAGGCAATGGTACAAAGAGCTACCAGGCATTCTGAGAGAACAGAAAAACGGTGAGGAGCACCAGCACAGCCAGCAGAGCAGGACACCCCAGGAATGCTTTGGTCTTTCATCATGCTGTCTACATCTTTGTGCTAAGGGAACTTTTTCCCCAAAGCTCTCCAGCTATCCCTGTCCTCTGCAGCCAAGGCTCCAAGAGTGGCACTGGGATGGTGCCCTGTGTGTGAGCTCACACAGGATTCAAAGGTGGTTTTCATCCCCCAGACCCTTCATTCCCACCAATTCAGCCCAGCCAGCAGAGCTATGACTGTGAGATTCCACAAGGGAGAGCAGCAAGATTTGCCATGCAGAGCAACAGCAGCCACAAAGATGCACTTGGTGTTTACTCACAAAAAAAATCTGTTTCCCCTCAAGTTTTTGTATTCCCTAACATGGAGCAAGTGGAACCCAGAAACAAGGTGCACATGCATGGCTGCCCTGCCAGCTACTTCAACAGCTTCCCTAGGTAATTCCTTCTTCCACACAGATGAAGAGCAGCTCATTCCAGCAGGAAAGCAAGGATAAAAACCAGGACTGTGCACAACTTCCCAGAACACCTTCATTTCCTGTGGTTTAAACTCCAGGTCACTGCTTCTGTGTATTTAAAGGCCAATATTGCAGCCCACAGGGATTGAAGATTGCAGCTCTCAGGCAGTGATATATGAAGAATCTTAATGGGGCTGGGAGACAGGGAAGGAAATGTTCCCTCATTTTACAGATAAGAAGCAAAACTGAGTAGATGGTCTAGGCAATGGGAGCCAAAATCTGCTTTGATCAATGCTGTGAGGTCTCAGAACCAGCAAAGTACAAACACTGAGCCATGCATACACAAGGCGGAGAACAGAAGTCCCAGAAATGAGCAGAAAAGCAGAGAACAAAGTGAGGGGAAAGATAAAGAAGAGAGATTTGGCTTACAACAGACATGCCCACCCAAGGGGAAAAAAAAAGTTTAAAAAAAGGTGGGGAATCCTGAGCAGCACTTTACAGTAATGAAGGGGGGAGGGGGAAAGGTAGAAGTGAAACAGTCACAGCATGAAACCTGAAAAAATGGCTTTTAAAGAAAGCAAAACAAGCACTTCAATGTTCTAAGAAGAAAAAAAAGGTATCAGGCAAAACAGTGTGCTGAGGTTTTTTCTTAAGCCTGTTTTTGATCAAGATGTATTTTATTAGATAGATTTTATGGGGAGAAAATGTCCATTTTTGGGGGGGGGAAGGTCCTCTTTGTTTTCCTTTTCAAGGAAAAATACCTATGTTTAGTTGATGTTTGGTGCTATGGAAAAAGGGCCTTTTAGGGAAAAAAAATATTAAGAGAAATTAAATGCATCTTTAAAAAGGGAGACAGAATTCCAAAGGTACAAAGAAGGGAGTAAATATTGGTGACGGGGAATGCTGCTGCTGTCAGTTCAAGAGAGCAGAAGGTACTCAAGTAGCAGCAAGTATGAAAAAAGATTTGGAAGTTTTTCCTCTCTTGGCATCAGACAAGACAAGGAGTTCAAGCAACCAGGTTCAGTCCTCAGACTCCTCCAGGGGTGCACAAACTCACATCCCTGCTGTGCCTTGTCCCCCCACTGCTGCCCCCCTGCCTGGCCCAGCCCTGCAGTGGCAACCTGAGCCATGGCCCAAGGAGCCACCAGAGCCCTGTGAGACCAAGCCCAGGGCCAGAGGAGCTGAGGACACAAATTCTCAGTCCAAACAGAAGAGCAGTTCAGCTCTGTCAGATGACAGCCACCTCAGCACCCTCATCTCTGGATGGCCATATATGTCTGTAAATGTTGATCTCTTCACTTTGGGGATTTTTAGAGTAAGATTTGTTTATTCATGCTCAGATTCCTCTTATAGTTATGCCAACAATAAGCCATAGATTAAAGAAAGCCTCGCAGCTCTAAGCACTTCTTACTAAGATTTTCACTGTACAGTTCAATGGACAACTCCCTGATCTGAGCAACCACTTTAAAGCATTCCCTAAGGGCATCCAAAATAATTTTGTTCCATCTGATGTCTAATTAGATATCCAAGACTCTGATCTCTCAAAGGTCGCTTCACAAAGGTTTCACTCAAAACAAAGCAGGAGATTTGAATACCTTTGGGGCTGACAAACAATAAATCTCCTAGCTGAAACCTAAACATTGTACAGGGAATCTGAAAGGTATCTGAAGGCAGTGCAGCTACTGCCCCATAACTAAAGGCAGTGAAAATGCCCAGAATTGTGTTTGTGGCCATCCCCTGGGTTGGGACAGGGTTTTGCTGCCCAGCAGAGCACCAGGGGTGCAGCAGCCCAGCCTTTGACAGACCACGCAGCCGGGATCAAAGGGCAGGAAGGGATGCAGCGCCTTCAAAGCCGCTTAGAAGATCCTGACACACCGCTCCTTTTCAAAAGCGGCGAGGACTTCAAGACCCTTCACAGCTTTGAAAACATCAGCCCAGAGATACTTTTGAAGGCGGTGTGGAGCTCTTGCCGCCGGCAGAGCCCGGCGCCGGGCGGGCGGTACCTTCGGAGCGGTGGATGCAGGTGTGCTGGTTGTCGCTGAGGAAGAAGCCATCCTTGCAGCGGCACTCGTAGCTCCCCACGGTGTTGACACAAACGTGCTGGCAGCCGCCGTTGTTGAACATGCACTCGTCTGTGTCTGAGAGAGAGCGGGGGGAAGATGGAGATGAGCTTTGTGCCGTCACCAGTGCGCGGCACAGACAGACATCAGCTGGGCTGGGACACCCCGGCTGTCCTGTGGGTGCTGTCACCCCTGCCAAGGGCATTCCTGCTGCTGCTCCTGCCGTGTGTGCAGCCCGAGGCACAGGGCTCCCAAGCACAGCTGATGGCCACAGCCTTGGCAGAGCCAGCCCAGCACTCAGGGGAACATTCCCTGTCCCCAGTGCACCCCGCAGCCTTGGCAGAGCCAGCCCAGCACTCAGGGGAACATTCCCTGTCCCCAGTGCACCCCACAGCCTCGGCAGAGCCAGCCCAGCACCCAGGGGAACATTCCCTGTCCCCAGTGCACCCCACAGCCCCGCACACCCAGCTCAGCAACCACACGGCTGCCTCAATGGGACAGCCACCCTTTGCTCCCAAACCCATCCGGGCTTTAAAGGTTGTAGTGCTTTTGGTTCATTAATTTGAGATTATTTTTTTTCCCCAGGAAGCTCCACATCCTAAAGCAAAGGTGGAAGAAGAGAAATACAAGCCTCAAAAGAAATTCAGCTAAAGCCCCTGCTCCTTATTTCACCCTAGCTAGAATTCACACACCACATCTCTTCTGCTGCTTGGTTTGTCATCCTCCTCCCTCAAGCCTAGGACATCATCACTCATCATCAGGGCTGCTGCTGTGCTGACTGACTGCAGTCAAGGACAAGAGCAGAAGTTCTGGAAGCAGATTTAATCTTGGTTTTGCCACATTCAGAGTCTCAACAACACCAGAGAACACAGAAGGGCTCTGCTTGGATAACCAAAGAGTAGGAAAACTTCAGCTAAGCCTCTGAATAACAGGATGCCAATCCCAATCTCCAATTCTTGGGAATTTTACCCCTTAATAAGCACAGGTTTTCGTAATCACAAGTGCCAAATACTTCTCCTAGCCTAATTTTCAGAAATTTTAATAGGAACTAAAAAACACTCAGTTCCTTGAAAACAGAACAAAACTCTGCTGAGGCAAAGCACTGGTCTCATTTGCAAATTCATCTGTAACACCATGTTTGCTCCCTCTTCTGTTCATTGTTCCTGGCTAATAGTACAATGTTTTTAATTTAACATTGTAGCATTTCTGGCAGAAAACAGCTGTCTTTTAAAAAAAAAGGAGAAAGAGAGGCTTTTAGTAAGAAGCATAACATAGTATTACAACAGATTTAATGTCCACTGAAGGCAGTGAGTAAGCCAATTGGATGCAAAAGAATGTGACCTGCTGGAGAAAAAGAGCGGCTGACATATCTCCATCACAAAGAAGCTGAGTATTTTAGAGTTCTGCAGTGATGTGAATGTGCAAACAATCATGAATAAACAGCCACCACGAGTCTTTAGTGCTACAGATTTGAACTCCAGCAGATGTTTCTGTCTTACAGACCTTGGAAAGCTTTCAAAAAAATCATCTCTTTCCAACAAGTAATTGTCTATTTGGCTTAAACCCAGGCACACAGCAGAGATCTTCAAAAATAAGGGTGAGAGGAGGGCAACCCTGGCGTGAACAAAGTAAATAAACAGATTAAGAGAAGATGTGATCCAATTTGCTGCATGCCAAAATATTTATTTAACGTTTACATCGCAACTCGAAATTGGCACATCAGTGGTAAAAAACCTCACTGTATGTCAATGACATTTTGTTTTATTTTATTTTATAGGTCTGCCATGCAATGCTGAGCAGCTTCCCAGTGACACAGCAGGTGGTAGATTTTGGTCTAAGTTGTGTCAGTGGTCACAAACAGCCCAGCTGAAGAATGCCCTGGCTACAAAGAGAATGCACACATGCCTTTTGGTGCCATTGTTGGAGGCAGTGTGCTCCTTCACATCCACCCTTCATGGTAACCTCAGCTGAACTCCACTCTGTGTTTACGCAAAAATAAGATGGATGATCTGTTATTTTAAAGCATCCGCAGATATTTTGTTTCCCTCTCTACTTTATTTAAATATTTGGAACCTGGGGAGTGGAGTTCTCCCTCTCCTCCACCTACACTGCAGAAAGCTGGGCATGCAACAGGTTCCCAGCAGGTAAAACCCAGCACAAAACCACTGAATATTCCAGAGTTTTCTGATTTGTCCCAGCAGAAGAGACAGCCTGGGGATGGTCTGAGCCCCACCTGATGTGCCACACACCAGTGGGAAATAGCCAGCCAAACTAGCTCCAATTTTGCAGGGAGGGCAAGGTTCCCTCTGACTGCCATGGGTGTGGAGGTGTGTCCAGTCACATCCACACGGGGTGCAGCAGGAGAGGAAAACTGAGCCATCCCTGAAAAAGCAAATGGCACGGGTGGCACAGGGTGAGCCACTGCCCAGCTGGGGTCCAGGGAGCAGGACAGCTTCACCAGCCTGAGGCTTAGCCCCTCTGCTCTTCAATGGCCTCCATCATACACAGCTACTGCACACTCCCAACATCCTCTCCTTTTGGGAATATTCACAGTGAAAGCCCCCACATTACAGACAGATTTGAGAGAGAAGATCCCTAAGCCTGGAAACACACCTGACAACTGATCCTAACCTAACTGTGGGACAGAGAGGACAGTGATAGCACACGTTCCTTTATATAAACTCACTCAGCATAATAATAGATGGCATTTGGCACACTTAAACCCAAAGCACTCCACAGAAATATAGCACAGTTATCCTCACTTACAGATGGGGGAAAGAGCCACACTGGGATGACACCTCAGTACCTGAAAATCCTTGGACTCACCAGCAACATTCTGTCTCTCTGAGCTGACTGAGCCCAAGAGATGGCATGGGGTTCCCCATGTGTGCAGCCACAGGGCTGAGATCCACAGCACACACTCCTTACCCAGGCAGTTGTGGCCATCATGAGCCAGCATGAAGCCGTCGTAGCAAGTGCAGCGGTAATTCCCTGGAATGTTGAAACACTCGTGGACACAGCCCCCATTGAAGTCGTTGTCACATTCATCAATGTCTGAGGAATAAAGCAAAAGTCAGTATGATGGATGCCTGAGTGTTACAGACAGGGATGTGTCTGCCTAAATGTGAGCAACTGCTGTCCAAAATCATCATTGTCTTGCAAACACACTATATTTAATGCATTTCTTGCTGAATCACTGAGAAAACACCCTGAAACCCCCTTGCAGCCTTACCTTATGTTTTTTAAGGCCATAAACAACAAACTCATTATCAGGCTGAGTGAAATGAACAGGTGAAAATCCATACAAGGTTTGCCTTTGATTTTGTAAACAAGAAGTATATCGCGTGATGAAACAATCACTATTTTGATTTTTAAATCATCCTTTGTTATTTTCAGTGGCTCTATTTCCTTAGAAATGCTCCAGGCTGGCACAGACAGAGCGCTGTGCTTGGTCCCTTTACCTTCACATTTCCTCCCTTCGCCGGTGTAGCCCATTTTGCAGGTGCACTTGTACAGCTTGGGGGTGTTTTGGCAAATGGCATCTGGGTGGCAGTCATCCAGCCCCAGGGCACACTCGTCCACATCTGTGAAAAGACAGCAGGCTCAGGAGGGATGCCAGCAGGAGGAGAACAGGGCGTGTGCCCTGAGCACATCCCTGAGGAGATGACAGGGCTGAGCACCTCTCTGTGCTGCCCACGAGAATATCGTGTGGTTTTGGGTGTCAGGACAGACAGAGGCAGAGACAGCATCTGCACTGCAACTTCTGTCACATTCTACCTGCAGACGGATATATTTGCATGCAATTCAGATGAGCCCAGGGCAAGCTGTTGTGCATGTTTATAAATGCATCCAAAACAATCTGATAAGGACTGGATACTCTATGAAATTCAGCTGATAGTTTCACAGAGATTCATCAGAGATTGTTAATCTTTCTGATTAAAAAAAACAGTCACTGAAAGAGTTCTTGATCACATCCATGCATCACCTGCAGAAAGCCCAAGGATTTTGAAAATAACAAGGGGAGAGGATTGAAATTTATTTCAAAGTCACCACCAACAAATTAAAAGACTGACTTACCATTAAACAGATGTACAATTGTAAAATAATTGTTTTTAATACAAGAATTGTATCTGGGGAGCAGCACTGCCAAATCACCTGGCCAGCCATCTCATAGCACAGCAAACTGAAGCAAAATATCCAGGTGGAAACTTCAGAGAAGAGGAAATGAAGAGAAAGAGAAACACCAACAGGAAGAAGTCCTGGAGATGAAGAAGTGTAGACAGAAGAGGAAGAAAAGTTACAGGCAGTAGAAGACATCAGGACAAGTTTTTCACACAGCAGAAGAAAACTGAAGCATGGAAACAGGAAGATTTCCAGCAACTGGCTAAAAGGGATAATTGTAGGAGCAACACCCCATGCAGGTACAAGAAGTGCCTCCTAAAACACGAAGTAGTGCATGAGTATCAGCAGAAAGAGACTACTTCAATAGTCAGCCACTTTTTATGGTGGGGATCACTTTCCAAATGGAAATTTCAGCCAGCACTTCTCCCATTTACAATTATAGCATTCATCCTGCTCTTTTTTTTTTTTTTCCTTTCCCCCAATCACAAAATATGCCTGTAGGTACTGCAGCAGCTGCCAACTGCAGAAAGTGTTCACTTGGTTTTAACTCCTAATGGGGTTTGGCAGTGGGAAACAAGGCAAAGAGCCAGTGCTGGAGCAGCAGTGCCCTCCTGGCTCTCAGGTGCACACAGCTCCAGCAGCAGCGATGGGGTCCCCACATACTGCCACCAGCAAGAGAGGAGAAGGTGCCAAACAGTGGGAAGCAGCTGGGAAGAGCAGCAGAATTGGCTTCTTCTCAAGGGAGGGAAGTAAAGCCATTAAAAAATGTGGGAGGCAGTGAATTGAAGGAGTCATGCAAGGAAGGGCGCGGGCAATAGCTGAGGGGTCTCCAGCTAGTGGGGCAGACAGAAGGGATGGGCAGGGAAGGACAGACAGCCATAAAGGAGCAGCAGCCACACGAGCAGACGGTGTGCCCTGGCACCGTCAGCTCTGCCCTGCCCGAGCCAGGGGCACAGACCTGCCCCGGCAAGAGGGGTCCCAGAAAACACATGGCAAGGAGGGGGCTTCCCTCTAAGGCAGGACACAGAGACATCAAGCAGAGCTCGTGGCTCAGCTGGGTTATTTTACACCGCCCCTCTGTGATCCGCAGCGTGCGGTGAAGAACCGCAACAAGAAGCCGCATCACTAATGCATGCAAAGGCGTGGAATAAGGGCTTGGAAAAATCCTAGGCACACGGAGAGGTATTTCCCCTTGCAGTGACAGTACCACGAGCAGAAGAGAGACCCTGGGGGAACGAGACTGCGAGCAAACACCGCAGCCTTCAACTTGGCAGGAGGCGGCGGCGGCGGGAGAGTCCCGGGGCTGGTTCCGCGGGCTCCGAAGGCAGCTCCACCCGCGGTCCCGGGGCTCTCCCCGCTCCCAGAGCAGCGGGAACCGCCGGGAACGCGGCGTTGGCAGCACTCGGGCAGCCCCACCGCCACGGCCGCACCTCACACCGGCACCGGGCCGGAGAGGAGAGCCGGGAGCGAGCGGTGCCCGCGGGGCGAGCAGGGGACCGGGGCCGCTCACCGGGCAGGGAGCGGGGCAAGGAGCACTCACCGGGCAGGGGGCACTCACCGGGCAGGGGAAGGGAGCGGGGGCACTCACCGGGCAGGGGGCACTCACCGGGCAGGGGCAGCGCGGCGGGGCCGGCCGGCGCGGGCAGCAGCAGGAGCAGCAGGCGAGGGCTGGGCGGCCTCCCCCGGCCCCGCCCCGGCGCTCGCACACCTGCCCGCCCCGACCGCAGGTGCCCGCGGGGCGGGAATGCCGCGCACGCCGCCCGGGAAGCATCCCTGAGCACGGAGCATGTGGCTGCCCGGCACACGCGAGGCGCTCCGGCCTCCGTTGGGTCGGTGCAGTACAATACTGAGGTTTTTACCGGGTAATTACAGCCCACTGCAGAGCGTGAATCCCCGGCTGAAGGCCCACGCATCACGCCACCCCCAGCGCAGCCCCAGCCCACCTCCATTCCCAGCCAGGGATTTCTCACAGCTGTCGCTCCTTTGGCAGGTAAAATTGGCTCATGCATTATTCACTGAAATTATCATTTCCTAAATAATGTCTGACCTTTCGGGCTGGGAGCAAAAGCAGGCAGTATTCTTCTCCACCCCTCCCTCCCATCCCCATTTCACTGCCCTCTCTCTTTTGTTTTGTTCTGTGAGAAATACCGAGCTGTTTCTAGTTGCAAGGGCGGTTTATACACATTAGTAAATCTTCAGAATGAAACTTTCCCTCAGTCTTTGTCTTTGTTTCCTTAATGGCAGCTATAAATTACCACTCTCCTTTCTCGCTGGAGCATCAGGCTTCATTGCTTTTGAAATGATCAAAGTTATTCTCCTTTTAAATCCAATGAGAAGCAACCTTTTGTGTCTCCTGGACGGTTTCAGTCTTAGGCAGTCTCATCTATAAGTACATAAAGCTGCTCATTAAACACTCCAAGGATTCTCCAGCCCTGCACCATTCCCCAGTCTTCCCCTCACCATCAGAAAGCAATAAATGAATGAAGGGTTTCTCGCCAGTTTCCATGATCTCCTGAATAAACCATCATACTCGGGGTGGGAATTGGCACACCTGCACATCTCTCATCCAGGGATGTCACTCAGGGTGTCCCCACAAACAGCTCTCCCAAATGGACAGAGAAGCCATCTCCCATCCAGGCACATGGCCTCAAACCACTCACAGAAAAGCTGGTACTCATTTCAGGCACTGCCCACTCAGGTCCCCTCAATGAACTCAGCCAGTATTAATTTAATTAACTCTCATCACAAGATTTGCAAAGTAAAGTAAGAACACATATGAAGAGTGTAGCAGAAAAACCAGTGAGAGACACTAAAGAGTCGTGTAACCAAAATATCCAAAGCTTTCTGAGGCACCGTAAAAGCAAAGCCTCTTTCTTACTTCTGTAAACTAAAACATAAAGTGAGACATAAATATTTGGGAATGCCTGAGTTAGATCAAAAGATCTCACTGCAGCTTGGAAAACAAACAGAACAATATCAAATTTATCTTAGCTAATGAAGCCATTTCTTCTACATAAATCTCAAAGTGTTCTGTGAAGGACCCTGGCTATTATTTCACATATAACACACATTTGTTTATGATGAAGAATTGCCATTAAAATATCTCTTTAAAGACACAAACCAGACAAGCTCAGACCTCAACTCAGATGCCTTTCTGCAGCCTTTTTAACTATTTCCATTCACAGAGTCACAGTGACAGATGACTGCTCTGGGCACGAAGACCATTACTGGGAGGGAGAGAAGCTAGAAAAATTCTTAAGATTCGACTTCAGCACTAAGTATAAGGAAAGGAAAACAACCACACCAGGGCAGTTGGACGGGAAGACAACACAAATAGGACTGTTTGGGGAAGTTTTCCAGCAATTTAAAATAAAACCAAGTAACAAAGTTTCAGGGAGGAAAATAGATGCTGGCAAACAGCTACTTCCATAGAGGTAAGACCCCCAGTTCCCCTCTGCTCTCCATTTTCACTATCACATGCAGTTACCTCACATTGGGAGATGGAGACTAAGCTGGATGCAAAATTTGCTCCAAAAATTGTACACCTGATGTCCTGAGTAGAGGTGAATACTCTTGTCTGCAAACTGGGGTTAAAAACTGCTTTATGCTTCATAATCCTTGTTAAATTTCATTATTTAATGATGACCAAGCAATACCTGAGCACATATAATTGCCATTTCATCTGCACTTTAAATGAGAAGTAGCAACTCTGCTGGCCTGCATCATATTGACCTAAAATTTAGCATGACTGAGCGAGCATGATGAGTGCTTGTGACAGCAGCTGAAAACAACTGGGAGGGCTGGGAGATGCCAGAATGGCAAAGGCAAAGTAGGATCCTGACAAGTGAGGAAATACTTTAAAATAAAAAATGTCTCAGAGCTGTAGTTTCAAGCCTTGCTCATCTCCAAGTGCGCACTGAGTTTTGAGTCATTGTTTTTCTTTGAAATGTATCACTCAAATTTTTGCACTTCCCATCTTAGTGTCCCAGGGTTGTTGAATTCTGTGTAAAAGTAACACATCTTCAGTAATCAGCAGGAATGCACAGGACTCATCTGAGACAGAGGAAATTTCTGGATTCTCTGGTCACAAGGGGCATTAAAAACCCTCCCATGTAATTTATGTGCCTTGTCTAAGTCTTTTTATGCCACTTGTAGAAAAACATTCCCCAAACAAACATCAGATCCACCAGTGACATTTTAAATGTGGTAGGATCTGCATCTGAACGTGTCACTGTCACTGAAATGAACAGTTCCTGTTCATTGCAGAGCTGAGCACAGCATGGCCTATTAATACACACGCATTTCTGAGTTAATGGGGGGAAAGGAGACACTTTGTGGTGTGAAATAACTTTTAGACATTTCTATGTCCTTGTGAGAGCCTTCCAAGTCATTGCCACAACAAATGGTAACATTTTAGACCCCAGCAGCCAGTGAACATCACCCAGCAGCTGCACAACACACTTTCCCAGCAAGGCCCTGCTCCTGGTGCTCCTTTTCCCTTTTCCTTGCAGGAAACCTGGAACACCTGAGGGAAGCACCCGTGGTGAGGTGAATGAAGCTGCACTCACCTGAGCTCCATGCAGGCCTGCCCCGTGTCCATCCCTGAGGGGAAGGGCAGCAGCTCCATCCCAAGCAGAGCAGAGCTCTGGTGTCTTCCAGAGGCTCAGCACACCCACAGCAGGGACCAAGGGCACAGCTGCACCCCCAAACCTGTGCAAGGATGAGCAGCAGCTCACCACAGCATGGCCCAGGCCAAGCTCACCCTCTGGTGACACCACCAGGGTGACACCATCAGCTCAGGCAGCTCCCCAAAAGGGATATTGACACTTGTTATTTTGCTTTGCTTAAAAAATGCCACCACCACAGAGCAGGGGGGTGTGTGAGAGGTGAAGCAACAGAGATACCTCCAGATTAATGATCCAGCTCCTTCCCTGGTGGAAGAGAGCATTCAGTGACGACCTGACGTGGTTTGGAGCAGAGGGGATGGCAGCATGTCTGAGGGTGTGTGCTCACAGCCCTTCCAAGGTCTGCGCTGGTCCCTTGGCCTTCCCCTGTCCCCATTCCCTGAGCAGGCAGGGATGGCCTGGGGAAGGCTGCAGCTGAACAGAACAGACACAAAACTGCACAACAAAGATCTGAAACGAGCCACTAAAATGTCCCACAGACCTGCAGCCAGGCAGTGAGCCATTTGATCAGCCAAATTATACCAGGCTTTTTGAAAATAGCACATGAATGCTATTTTTTCATGTTAGAAGACAAATTTTATTGCAATTCAGCAAATGAGCTACACCTGTAAAACCTCTTTGTATATCCAATTCACATTTAATGTCCAATGGATTGAAATGTCACAGGAAAAATTTAAAAAAAAAAGGAAAACAGTACCTGGTTTTGTCATTATAATGTAAACTTCAACACGGCCCTTAAAAATAACAAGCCAGTGATTTCCCCATGTAGTAAAATATATAGTTTATAAGGTATTGATGCTATATCTTAATTTAACAGCCAATCTCTAGGTATAAAATAAAGAGCTACAAAGATGTGAAGTACGTGTACAATTTCTTCAAGTATTTTCAAGTATCCTATAGTCTCTTCACTACGGACAAAATTCATTTGACAATATACAGAAAATGTTAAATCTGAATAGATTCACTGCAGAAATCTTAACATATTCATGAATTTAAAACACATAAAAAGTATGGGTCATCCAGCTAATAAGTCCCATTTGAACAGTTTGAAAAATACTCTTTGTAATGGAAAAAGTTGTGGAATAGTCTCCAGTTCATGAATATGTTTTCAGCTACAGAATATCAGGTGGTTAAAGTTTATGGCAGGTAAAGGCTTTTTTTCTTCTTCTTCTTTTGTATAAACTTACCATCACAGTATTTAATTACATTTAAACCAAACTTTATTAATTTGCATTTTCTTTTTGTATAAAGTATCATTGTAGCATTAACCAAAGAAGCCTAAATAACTGATAAGTGACAGCCTAATTTTTCCTCTTAATTCAGGTATGAGCCTGTAAACATGTTTGGCTAGTTTAGCACTATGTATTTACTGCACGATGAACTGCTTACTTTTTTATCACTGCATTTCTCTCTTTAGAATGAATGTGTGTTGTTAAAAAGATTTTCTCATTTACAGTTACCAAAAAATCCCCACTGAACAGAACAGCACGGCCACACTAACTGTACCTACCAAACCTGCCCCCTTATTTTGGAAAAGCAACAAGAAAAAAACTCAAAACTGCATTATTGTGAACAAAGGGAGAAGGATTTTACAAAGCTCTGCATAAAAAGGTGCTGCCTACACTGTTTGTTCCCATAAAGTTCAGCAGAATGGCAAATGCTGGATCCTCACTTTATCCTGCAGGGCTGCTGCTAGAACAGCCATGAGAGAAGTGGGTGGGTTTGAGGTGAACCCTGCAGATTGGTGGGATTGTGTTCCTACAGCCTGGGCTGTTCTTACACATGCCAGCTACATCTCTTCCCAAAATCCTGGCACTGGCTGCAAGATTGCCTTTGGAGCTAACAAAACCAGCTTTTTTTCAGCTGCATCTCAGAACCTTCTACTGCTCCATCAGTGAAGCAAATCCCTGCAGACCTGAAGTCCACAGCAGAAAGTGCTTTGAACCCCAACAGGATCAAGCACAGGCCCCTGTGAGAGGAAGAGGAAGGTCTATCTCAAACTGGCTTTTCCTGTGAGAATAAGTAACCCAGGAGCTGGAAGAGGATCTCTGTGTGCTCCTTCTGCACAGGACAGCCAGCACTGAGGGTGCTCCCACTGATGGGCAGCACCATCCCCATGGGCCAGCCAAGGAGCCCAGCCCTGGCAATCACCAAATCCCAGCCCCTGCCCATCCCAGGGACCTCAAACTGTCCTAATGAGGGCAAAACAATCCACACCAAAACAGCCA